CCTTTTCACATTACTTTCAGTGACTATAGAATTGAAATGAGAGCTCTGGAAATTCACCATCATTTTAAGGCATGATGGTGAATGCATGGCCTAGGATTGAAGACATCGGGACCCTGTTCCTGGTCCTATCTTCCCATCTTGATAAAGCCACAAAAGTTTTCTGGACTTCATCTGCCAAAGGAAAAGTCTTAGATGAGATGAGATGCCATGTCTCCCTTACTACCACACCAACGACTGTTAATTCTTTCTAAAGAAAAATTAATGCTTTGTGAAAATATGGAGAGAAGAAATGTATTGCAGTGCCAGGGCTCTTGGTTTGCTGAGAACATTCTGGTAGGGTGTCTTCAAGTGCCTCCTACACAGGGCATGCTGCTCCATCATTGCCTTAAGCATCAGTATGGTGCAGTGGATGAGCTCTACGTGACATGGCCAAAGTCGCAGAGGCACAAGGGCTTGTTAACCTCAGCTCGACCCCATTAAACGCACTGGAGTGTGACTTTGGCCATATAAAACAAATGTGTTGGCTCTGAGCCCATCAGGATTCTGAGGCTCTTTCTCAACAAGGAGGCAAGCAGGAAAGGAGAAGGATTTTGCTTTCTTCAGTCTGCATTAGGGGCCTCTGTGGTCCAGGCCATGACGTGTGACATGACAATACTAGAATGCACACCAGAGCCTTTGAGAAACTGATTTCACTTCAGTTGTTGACGTCATGAAGAAAGACCCTGAACTGAGAATCAAGACTTGAGTTCCAGTCCTGAGTAGGAAGGTCACTTGGGAAAAAGTCATTTAGCATCTTGGGACCTCTTCTCTACAATAAGGGAGCTCAGTATAGACTTTCTATTTTTTTCTACTAGTTCCATCAATCTGAGATTCTGTATTCTGAATTAGAACTTTATTGGGGCTGGGGATATAGCTCAGCTGGTAGAGTATGTACCTTACATGAATAAGGTCCTGGGTTCAATCCCCAGCACCACTACAAAAAAAAAAAAAAAAGAACTTTATGAGACAAGCCCTCTGATTTCTTAGATGTCAAACTACATACTAGAGACAAATAAAGCAGTTTTTAAAACTGTGTCAAATTAATAAGGTGTGCAGGGGTCTTATGGGGAAATCTTTTGAATTTCCCACTTGAAGCTAGGATTTCAGACTGTGCACTTGAGGGTGACATGTTGCTACAAAAGTAGATTGGCTATGGGATCCTTTAATCTTCATTATAGTTTAATCCTTTACCCAGGATTTACATACAAAAGCTATGAGGTTTTAATTGATATTCAAAATTGATAAAGTATTGCAAGAGGAAAGGGTAGTTGAATATTTTCAGGTCTTAAGGAAAGTTAAATTGATTAATATGACCATTTGATCTAGTTTATCCTCCACATATGCAATCCAGACTCTATTCCTCAGATGTATTCTATTGACAGGTTGATCTTGTTAAAATGTAGTTTATTCCCATTTTTATTCACTGAGGTTCAAACTTTAGCAAGTTTCTTAGTTCTAAGTATTTAAATCATGCTCACCTATTCTTTTCTGAATGCTCCCTGTTATATATTTGTATAATATTGTAGATAATTTTCCTTTCCACTGTTTCATTTGTTCATTACAACAGTCTGCCCTGAGAAGCTGGGGGTAAAACCATGTCTTCCATTTTAAACAGGAATAACTGAGGGTTTGGTGCCAAGGTCACATGTTTAGAAGGGAAACACACACACACACACACACACACACCTTTTTCCCCCCCACACTCTTCACTTCACTGAGTGGATTAGTTTGTTCTGCTGCTCACAGAGGATCCTTGCTCAAGGATGGTGTACATTTTGCAAACTCCTCGCTAATAGCTGAATGGTGTCACATCACAGGGAATTACTCAGAAAAGCACAATGTGAATGATTAATATATATGCTGCTGAAGGATATAAATGATTAAAAATACTTTGGAGAAGAATATTTTGTATACTGTCAAAATTTTATTAACATTGTTGATAAATGTGAAATATCTGAGAAGTGCTTAGATATTAGGTAGATCAAATTAACTTTCACAGTAGGAAAAGGGTGACTACTCTAGAAGGAAAACAGTTCCTAAAGAAAATCGGGAGGATCTGGAGCAAGAATAACCAGAGAAATTTAACTACAAGCCAGTTACATTGCCCATGAGTGTGGTTCATCTCTGGAAAGTTCAAATTTCTCATCTTATACACCCCATTCAAGGATGTCCCCTTCAAAGGAGTCATCTTGAGAGGCTCTATGCTTATTCCATGCATGCAGATTGTTAGTTGAATTATTTCTAGGACTTCTATTTTATAATCGCCCTCTGAAATGGAAACTTCCTTTAAGTATTTTTAATGGTGTTTTAGATAAAGTCAAAAGTCAGAGTCATATCTGGTAGAAAGATGGGTGCTCAAGCCAAGTAATTTATTTTCCTTCTTTGCTTCTTTCTTTTCTTTCCTTTCTCTCTCTTTCTCCTTTCTTCCTTCACTCAGAAAAAGAGATGGGACTAAACTATTTTGTGTGTTTCATCTTCTTCTGAAGACTTCTAATAATTATTCTAAGTAATCCAGTACTGTCATGGTAAGAACCTATTTTCCAAGTTACTGATGCTGGGTGCTTAAATTCTACTTTGTTAGTTTAAAATACTCTGTTTTGTGGTTTTGTAATTCTATTCCTTAGAAAGAATTCCACAGGGCTTTAGGGTGGGTGTTGGGATGGTTCCAAACGACGGGAGACCTAATTGTTTTCTTCAAACCAGTGATGGGTTTTGGGAAGTAGTGCTGAGCTAAGAGGTGAGAAGCAGTTCAAGGAACAGAGAAGATGCTGTGTGGAGCCCTGAGTGGGATCCGAGGTGTGTCACTTTAGCTGATTGAAGCATATGACAGATATGGAAGGAGACCGTGGATGTTAAACCCAATGTTACGTATGAGAATAAGGATAGTATGGTAGAAAGGACACGTTACTTCAAGTGCTAACTTCTGCTTTCAATTGGTAATGTAACATTGGGTAAATAATGTGCTTGTTTCCTAATCTGTCAACTTAAATGAACCCAGGGTTTCTTTAAAAATGAAAATTGATTTTATAAGGGATACATGCTAAATGTCTTCCAATACCATGAGGAATTCTCATCTGGAAAAAGGATTAGAACAAGACTGTAAAATATCTGAAAAAGGAACAAAGTATCAAAAAATCACAAAGGAGCAGATTTTGACTTAAAGTAAGATAGAACTGTGAGATGGCGTCTTGAGGGTGGAGGATGGTATGGTAAGGTAAGTTCCCCATGAATGGAAGTAATCAAGAGCTAAGACGACCGGTTTTATGATGTTGTTAAGGGGGATGTCCCCTCCAAGATGTGGCGAGCTGCCTGATTATAACAATCTCTGTAAGTACTAAAGTTCTAGGGATCTTTACTTTGGGGGCATCTTTTGTGCTCTTGATTGCGTTTGTGAAGCAATGCAAGACCAAGGGAATAAATAACAGACTGAAAAAAGTCCCCCAGAATTCTAGAAGCGAGAACTGATCCATGAAGGTATGAGTCATACTGCCCAGACATCCTTACAGTTGTCAAAGGCTATGAATTCTAGTGACCTTTTCATTTAACGTAATGTGACCTGAAAGATTCCAAGAGTCTCCCAGTTTCATTGAAAGAGAAGCATTAAAAGAGAGGACCTTAAAGCTGCCTCTTCTATTGTTCTTGTAGGATGCCCCCTTTACTTCTTAACAGAGATCCATCTGATAAGCAGCATCAGGCCCAAAGCTCAAGAAGCAAGTCATGTGAATGCAGAGCTGATCATCATTGATTCCTTGGGCCACTGTAGTAAAAGGACATTAATTACCATCAGGCTGGTTGCATTAATGCAGTTGTACTGAGGATACCTAGGGTAATTTCCAGTGAAGAAACTGCATTGGAGATCACAGTCAGCTGCAAAGGAACCCAGGGGCTGGGGTACAGGTATCCAGGAGGAAGACAATTTCATTGGTATGACTTCAGTTACCTCCAGAGTTTCTGCTAATTTGTGCTCATGTCCCTAAAGCACTCTGAAATGCCCTCCTTTGCTATTCCCACCCTCAGGTATTTTCTGTTCGTTATACATAATACAAAACCCTGATTTTCAGATGTATTCTGTGGTGCCAATAGGACTCATCACACAACTTTGAGAAATATAGACTGGGCAAGTCCTCAGTAAGAGTTAGAGAGTATGTGCTTTTCTAGAGAATGGGGAGAGGGCCTAAATTCCCACATGCCATCTTTCTTAGCAGAATTTTGTCACATTCTTTTCTTCCTTTTTTTTTTTTTTTTTCTTTTTTGGTACCAGGGATTGAATGCTGGGGAACTCAAACACTGAGTCACATCCCCAGCCCTATGTTGTATTTTATTTAGAGACAGGATCTCACTGAATTGCTTAGCGCCTCACTTTTTGCTGAGGCTGGCTTTAAACTCAAGATCCTCCTACCTCAGCCTCCCGAGCCACTGGAATTATCAGCGCCACCGTGCCCAGCTATGTCACTTTCTTGTCTTTACCTCCTCCACCCGCTTTACTCTACCTCCTTTTATGTATGAATAATTGTTAACACTTACTGAGGTTTTACTCTGCACCAGGCCCCATGGTAAGTGCTTAACCTAGCTATCCCATTTAGGCCTTACAAACCAAGAAAGGTGGGCCCTTTATTACCCTCACTTTCTGCAGATAGGGGGAGAAAATGAAGTTACAAATGCTAAATGATTTGCTCCAAGTCATAGCTACAGACTGAACTCAAACCAGGTGACCTTATTTTAAGTTATTATAGTGTTTTGTTATATGATTTCTATAGGTGAATACTTGGATGATTCTATTGCATAATCACCTGGGAGTTGTGGAGAACCAAGCTTTCTGATGATATCTGTATATTCTGATGATATCTATTGTATCTCTCTCTGCATCTGTCTCCATCCACCTTTCTCTCCCTCTACCTGGCTATCTTGCTTTTGGATGCTATTTTCATGTTTTTAATCTTACTTTTATTTTATCTTCACAGGTATCTGATCAATGTCACTTTTGAGGGGAGAAATCTGTCCTTCAGTGAAGATGGCTACCAGATGCACCCGAAACTGGTGATAATCCTTCTGAACAAGGAGAGGAAGTGGGAGAGGGTAGGACATGTCTTTGGCAATTCTTAAGCAAAACATAGGGGTAGGGATGTGAAATTTTGTGACACATTAAAGGAAAGAAGTCCCTTGGTTTTCATCCCTAGACCCAGGGAACAAGAGGCCAAAACTTGGAGAACGCAGGAGAAACTAGATCTCAAAACTTGCATCTTTATTTTCCTGCTTCTTTGGTCATCAAAAGATTGTTTCCTTTATACATTTCTGTTTATCACTGGTGGTTCCATTGCTGTCTGAATCATGACTGTTTTAATGGAAGGTTATATATGTTAATGTAACATAATTTGGTGAAGAAACCAAACGGGTGGTACCATTCAGAAGTTGTGTCCTACCCAGTGTCCGAGGAGGCCCATAAAGCCTAGGTGATGAGCAAACATGCAGAGATTTACTGTGATTGAAGAGTTACCATGCACAGCTCTGTTCAGAATCTCTCCCACTGCCAGCTGATCACAATATTTAAAATTCTACCATTAGAAATTAATGTCTGTGGGCATCAGGCTGGCTCTGCTGCTCACTAACCTGTTTGTTTAGGACTTTGGGCAGGTCTTTTTACTATTCCATACTCAATTTCCTCAACTGTAAAATAGGAATAATCATAGAACTCATATCACAGATATGAAGATTAAATATATTAATACCTATAAAATACTGGAAAAACTGCCTGGTACACAGTGATCACTCAATAAATATTTAGCTTTAGTTATTATTTCAGATTCCTAAGTAAACACAGATGTTCCCAAGAGTGTTGTTTTATCACTGATCTTTCTCCAGGTATGTTTTATTGGACGCTTGTCCCTTGAGACACTTTGCTAAAAAAAATGGTTCTGCAGATAAATATGATTAAGAAATACTAATTATTATTTCTCACTCCAGGAGCATCTCAGAACATATTAGCATTTGAAAGTTCAAATAGCAAACAAATGTCTTAAATTTTTATCTAATATGGCACTTCCCTGAATTATTTGACCCCAAGACCCCCTTTGTTTGTGATAGTCATAGTCCATGAAAACACATTGGGAAACTGCTTAACCACAAGTTCCATAGACTCCATGGACCAATTGGCTGAAACAGGCTTTTAAAATGCCAGTAGGGTTTCCAGTGGAAACCAAGTGTGTTAGTCAGTTTTCCATCACTGTGACAGCATCCCTGAGATAACTCAGCCTCTAGGGAGGAAAGATTTATTTTGGCTTACGGCTTCAGAGGTTCCAGTCCACAGTCATCTGGCCCTGTTGCCTTGTGCCTGTGGTGGGGCATCATAGTAGGGAGCATGTGGTGGAGGAGGCCCTGTTCACCCACCTCATGGGGGCCAGGAAGCAGAGAGAGACAGGAATGGTTCGGGTTCCAATATCCCCTGGCTCCAATGACCTAATATCCTCCCATTAGACCCCAGGTCCTAAAGGTTCCACCATCTCCCAATAGCCTGATAGGCAAGTGGGGGAGCCTCGTTTGGAGGACATTCACACTTCAAACTATAGGACTAAGCTAGACATTTCTAGAAAGAACAGCCAGAAAGAGATCAGAGAGAAACTCCCTGAAATTCATGATCTTGTCCCAGAGATCCCAGGATGGTTAGTTATAGAACACCCACTTGTGAATTAGACACGTGTGGCTCAGCTACTGGAACCTGGAACCTGATACTCGGAGTTTTGAGAGACCTCAGTCTGTCAAACAGTCGCTGTCATCAGGCATAGTTACAAAGCTTACATCGTGCCTGATGCTCTTGGTTAAGTTACCCTCCCTCAGAAATGGTTGTTCCCTGGACTCCTGCTCTCCACCCGAGTCAAGCTGCTTCTTGCTGCTGCTGTAAAGACATCATGATTTCAGAAGTGTTCTGGCTCCTCATGTAGAACAGACACTTCTGTATATCTCCAAAAGAGAAGTTCTTCATAACTGAGGCTTCAAACATGGCTCAGAAGACGTCCAGCGGGAGTGGCTTCCTGCAGTGGACTCATGATTACAGTCTCAAGCAGGAGGCATCTCGTAACTGTCCTTAAAGAGACACCACCCATAGTCCTGCAGCATCCCTTCCTTAGGCTGGGATCTGAGGCCCGTGGCCCTCAACCCTTTCTCCCCAGACCCTCCTTCTGATGTTTATCAATCCTAGCTCTCCTGGTCATTCCATACTTTAAATATGACCCAGGAACCATGGGATAATTTTTTGAACAGGCCTCTTTGTCCCTGACTCAACTTTTGTTTAGATCAACCCCACTTGTGGGTGCTGGAATGAGCTTCCTAAAACACAACTGTATATTCTTTCCCTGCCCCAAACCCACTCAAGGCTTTTATGATTTACTTGTTAGGTCCACATGTTACCCGTGTTTGTACTGGCTCTGGTCTACTTTCCAAGGCCTGCCTCTTCCTCCTCATTTCCTACTCCTTTCTTTTCTGAGAATGTGCCCTTGTATGTCTTGCCCCCTGTACAGCATGTCATCATGTTTCCTTTTCCTGGAACGCATTGTACAGTTATACAACTCACAAGCATCCTTCAAAGCCCAGTTAAAATGTCACTGCCTCCTTCCCTGATCTTTGACTGCAGTGTAATGCTCCCTCCCTTTCCCTGAAGCCTCACTCCACGTTTCTGTTGCTGCACTGTCACACCCTCCTTGTGTTAGCGTTGTGGGCATGCATGCCTCCAGAGGGCAGAGGCTATGTCGTCTTATGGTGTGTCCTCACAGCAGCCTGAAGAGTGAATTGCATAGAGCAGTTCAATAAATTTTTGCAAAATGAATGATTACATTCATTTTGAATGACTCTCATTACATAATGAAGGTCCAAAATCTGTCATTAAGAGTCCAAGTTTATGCTATTGCCCTTGACACAATAGCTGGGTTTGCATTTTTTTTTTTGAAGGGGGGAATAAAATCTTTATGTAGATTGAATTTTTATAGATCATACTTTGTACCGAAGGAACTTGCTATTTAAAGAAATTCTGTGGTTAATCAATTTGTAAAGCATTTTTGAGAGGGGTTGAGAAATCAGAAGAATAGAAGATTTTTATATCAACTTGGTAAAACCAGGGAACATTTCTGAAGAGAGATGTTTAGTGTTTTGGGGTTTGCAGATACATGCAACTCCCAAACTCAAGTTCTGTTAGAGAGTCACCCAGAAGCAGGGAGGAGCCACAGGAGCCAAAAGCAGCTCTGGCAAATGGATGGGATGAGGGGAAATTGCACTATAAAAGGTTGGACCTTTTCTTCCACTATTATTTTGGCCTCTAGGGTCATTCTCAAGATCCTTGCCACTGTTGCACTAGGTGCTCTGTGGTCCAGGAAGATTTGGTGTCTGTGACTCCAGAGAGGCAGGCACCAGGGTGAGCATTCTACAAGGAGTTGCTGGATGCTGAGAAGATTAGCAGGGAGGGAAGCCGGATTTGCAGGAGCATCTGGGTTAGGAGCTACTTATCCAGGCACTCACTAGCCGAGGGCTGGCTCTTTTCACTTCTCTTGCTTCTTCTTTCCTTTTCTTTAAAATGATGGCATGAGACTAAAAAGATGGTTAGATCTCTTACAGAGATCTAAGATCTAAGAAGATCTAAGAAGATGGTTAGATCTCTCACTGCTGGGATTACCATTTATGTTGTAAATAAAAGGAGACTGGAATGGAAACTAAGTGACAGCTGGAGTATACAATAGTTCCTAGGGCATATGTTCTTGTCATTTAGGTAAATATCATGTCACCAGAAAGGCTACCGAGTCACTCTTTCACAAGTTGATTTTAATTTTCTTCACGATGCTTATTATCCAGCATCCTCCTTATTTACTTGCTTGCTTATTTATTACTGGTCTCTTCACACCAGGACGGAGGCTTTATGGGGACAAGGACCTTGCTCATCTCTATAATTCTAACACTCAAGAAGAGTGTTTGGCTCAGAGTGACCATTCAGAGATAATTGTTAAATAAATGAAGAATCTGTATGCTTAGGAAAGTTAGATATTGACCAATATTTTACTTTGACTCTGAAAATCCCCCATTCAGACAGAGTGGTTTGCTGAAGAGACCAGGAGAGGGTACCTTTCCCAGGCTTGGAGTGACTATTGCAGTTCCAGTGAAGGACCCAGGGGAGGTCTTCAGGGAGGCTCAGTATCCAGCGGAGCTGTGCGTAAACAGCTTTTAACAAGGAGCCTCAGCTGGAGGAAGAATCGTTGAGTTGATGCACTCCGGGTGATGGATTCCACAGGATTCATTCAGTTTCTTACAAGGAGTCCCAAAGCTACTGTCTTATAAATTTGGTTCCTCTGAAAAAACTCAAAGTCAACACAACCTAGGCTGTGGTTCTGGAAATCAGAAGACCTGCATTCTGCTCCCTGTGTGGCCATTTGTCAGCTCTATAAACCTGAATAAGTAACTGCAAATACTTATTTCCCTTTAGTAAAATAGGGTTTTACATAAAGCTGTTGTAAAGATTAAATGCGATTTTACAACGTTTCAAGGTATCGTTGGCACATGGTAAAAGGTAAATGATACAGATGATCGCGTAATAAACAGTCCTTAGTCCCCCTCCCCAGAGCAGTCGCTGTTGCCAGTATCTTATGTATTCCTCTGAAAATATTACAAATATGAACAGATTTGATATATTTACTCAACCTTTTATGACCCTTTAGTGGGATCCTATATCCTGTCCTTAAACGGTACAGGGGCTAGAATAGCAAAGAGATCTCTGAATCAGAATTGTATTCACGGAAAGCCAAGAGCATCTCTGGTGTGTAGGAATGTGGTGAAGGACATTTAGAAAGAAACACACGTGTACGCATGTAGGCAGACATGGCAAGGTGAGTTGAAAAGGGCAGGGGGTGGCAAAAAAATGATCGAGTGCAGAGTGGGCTCATTTGTAAGACTCTCTAAGTGGGGGACAGCTGCATAAACTTGCATTAAAAATAGTCTGGCACAGAGAAGCAGTTTCAATCAGCTTTCAGGCTTCTGTCTCTATCAGAGCCTCTCATGATTTGCTTCATTGCAACTGCTCTCTGCTTCCATTTAATCGTTCCTAAAATGGGGATAATAAAAATGAAATGCAGTGGGGGTGTGTTCAGAGTAATGACTTCAAGAAATGATGATGATGCATTTTTAGGCCAGAAGATGTAAACAGAACTTAAAGGGGCTGTCTGGGTCAGAATTAAAGGAAGATATGTAAAATTCACATCCCTGCTTATCTTCTCCCCAAAGACACCAGAGGTGTGTCTTATAAACTCACTCTCTTCTCTGCCCTTACCCACTAGAAAATGCCCTCTCCTGATAGATTAAAGCATTCTCAGTGGTTCAGTTCATTCTTTGGACTCCCAGGACCCATTGTTTGCAGAACTGAGATGTCACAGCCACATTCACCAGGGAAGGAAGGGCTAGAAATGAAAGTGATTGGCACTCAGTGCTGGACCCATAATAGTGCTGATAAATCAATGGGTGGATCAGTGGGAGGGAGGGTAACACAACTGAGAAAAGGAAGACCCTCAAAAGCTACAGCAGCCACAGCAATATAGTAAAGGCAGAATACCAGTATCTGGAGCCTGGGACGTATAAGATGGGATGCTAGTGTCTGGCAACCTCACATCCAGCTGTGGATGCTTTGTGAGACTATCTTCCAAAGGGCAATTGTGACCATATTCCATAGTGATCAATTTGGTGATAATATAATAGAGGTTAATTGCTACTGTGGCAGATACAATTCGAAAGCTTTCAACTGACAAAAAAATAAAACAGCCTCCCCGTCCCCTCACATGCATACACATTCTTTTATGGAAAAACTGACAGCCTGCTCGTGAACACAGGAGCCACATCTGATTGCATCGTCACTGTACTTCTGTGCCCAAAGCGGTGCAAGGCTCTCCCAAGTAGGCCAGTAAATATCAGTAAATATTTGGTAACTGCTTAAATGCACCTGTACCAACTTCGTCCCATCTTCCCACCTCAGAGAAGAATCTACACTTACTCCAGGGGAATATCCATGCTTTTTCTAAGGGTTAGAATAGAAGCTCCTTGTGTCAAAGGGGCTTGTTCTGGATCTCCTGAAACCATCGCTTGACAACACACTATTCTTACCATCTTTGAACTGAGTACTAATATGCACCATTGGATTAAGGGATTGGAATGCAGAATCCGCAGAGAAAGGCTATGGGAATTTGGGTCATTAAGGGGAAGAAGAAGAAGCCAATGAAGTGATGACTCACCCTCTTTAAATGTATGAAGAATAATTGTACCAAGTGTGGAGATCAGCTGTTCACTTTCTCCTGAGACAGAACAAGAGTAAGTGGGCTTAAGATCAAGCAGAAAGGATTTATATTGACTACAGAGAATTTCTTAATAGAGAGAAGTGTTGAGCACTGGTTAGCAACACCAGGGGATCACATTGAAAGTTACGGAAATCGGGCAAGTCCTATCTCTGTAAAGTACAGTCCTGCTCAAACAGCCATGCACAAACCATGTGGCTTCGAGAATTTTCCTCCCTTCCCTTCCTCCCTCTGACTTCCCTTTCCTCCTCTTGGTCTCTTCTTCTCTCTTTGCCTTTCTCCCTTCCCTGCTTGCTTTCTTCCCAAACATAATTATTTCACATTTACCGTGAGCCAAGGACTGCTCCCACCACTTCAGTATCGTAGTTTTCCTAGTGACTGAGATTATCAACAATAGGACAAAGAAACAAACAAACAAAAAAAACCCCAAGTGCATTGCAAGAAGAAATGTGCTTATGGTGACACTTAACATTTGGAACCTAAGGTGATTGTCTAGTCCTACTATTTGGTATGGTCTGACATCAGGGTGACGTTTCCTGTTGCTTGGTAAGTGATAAGTACTAACATATTTATGACAATTTTATGGGGCCACTGGATTACATATTTTGAAGGTGTTTCTTGAGTTGGGATTACTGCAGAGCCTCACATTCAAATGTTCCCTTATCTTTTTTTTCCCCTGATTTCCCAGAGCCCTAGCCATTGTGTGTTTGTGTACTTCCTTTTGGGGTGGGGGTGGGGGTTCAGGAAGAGACCTCTGGGGTTCAGCCCTCAGGAGGAAGAGGAGGAGCAGAAGGAGGAGCACTGTTCACCTCTAAAGTCTCAACACTGCTTTTATGCAGGCCATTGTGTTGAGCTGCTTCTTCATGTGTGACTGCAAAACAATTCAAAGATAAGAACAGGGTATTTGGGGGGAATAGATTCTAGAAACAGCATTTTAGAAAGGCTTGTCATCAGCCATTGAATGAAAAGGGTAAGAGAACCAGACAACCTGGGTTGACTTCGCTTTTGAAACCTGAGCTTGGTGATGGAACCAAAGAGCAGATCTGAGCTGAGAGACTGATGAGTTGACTTAACCTTGGCTTAAGGAGACAGAAGAAAGGAAAGTGTCCCCAAGCCAGTAGACAGTTTCTTTCCATCCATCTGGTTTCAGTTTTATTGGGATTTTTATTTCAGGACGGTTATCTGTGGTTGGCCCTGAGTCCTCTGAGCTATATTTCTAATTTCTAGGTTACCGTGTTTTTCCAATAGTGGTATTGAAGAAGAAATTGTGGTGCAGAGGTTAGAAGACTCTTAAGTTTACATCCAGATTAAAAGCAACATTTATGATTTTCTTATTTTAAAGGTACTTGATGTTTATTAAAGACACTTGGGAAGGGATACAATGAAATTGACCTACATCCAAACCTATGGGAAATTAACAGTTAACTTTTTTTTTTTTTTTTGGTTTCTTACCAGTAATTTTTACTGTGCCTGTTTTGTGTGTGTATATATGTGTGTATAACACAATGCAATGTGATATAGTAGACTTGAAAACACACTATATGAATAGTTTGCAATCTACTCTTTTTTTCCCTACTAGGATATTGTGGACATGTTCCTTTATAAAAAATATTATTAAAAAAAAGGAAACTATAATTGCCCAATATTCTATTGTCAGGACATATCATACTTCTTCACATTGGTCCCTTACGGCGAGACATTTGTACGTGTATAAAATAGAGACTCTGGTTTTCATATGAAAATAATTCAGAGTTGCTGATGGTCCAACTTGGATAGCATAAAATTGCTTTTCAAGGTGAGAAGAATTGGCCACTTTTTTCTTGTCAAATATTCCTAAATGTGAAAAGTGAAAAGCTTCAGTTAGGGAGTTTGTGTTAATTCATTAACTAGCAGCAGACACAGGTGCAGGGTGTGGAAAGCTCTCCTTTGTTACTCCTGATCTGCTAGCAGTCACTGAAAATTTTCTCTTGTTGACCTTTTGAGTGAGTATGTTGCCTTCTAACTTTGCTAATAAGGATATTTCTTATGTTTAGTAGTAACTCACACAGATGGCGTTGGCCACGTGCTCTGTCTATGTCTCTCTACATTTTTTTCATTATATTGGTTTCATTTTCACAAGAGTTGTAGGGCTTGAGCTTAGTGTGGCATCTTTTCAAGGGCTGTTTCTTCTCTCTGGTCCATGAGTGTCACAGAGAGCGGGAGCAGTATATATGCCCACAGGCTGACGTCCCTAAAAGCTGATAAGTTAGTAGTAAAAGCTGATAAGTTAGTAGTATCGCAATGTACTACTTTTGCTTTCACGCTTTTCAATGATTTCCATGAAACAGGACACTTAATTATTAATAGTATCTTGACTTTAGGGACATCCAAAGTTTGACATTAAAGCTCTACTGTCTGGTTGTCCTTCATATACAAGATGTTTCTAGTGATCTAGCACTAGGAGATTTTATATGTTGAGTTCTTCCTGCAGTGACAATGGATTTGTACTAGTCCATGCATAGCCTCTCTCCCCACAATGCCTATTCATGAGAGCTGGCCAGGAACAGAATCAAGGTATTTTGGGTACACAGGAAGAGAAGTGCTGACCTTGGCATGCTAAATCTGTTAAGATGCCTCTGAATCAAATATTTAATTGAAACATTGGCCAACAAAGGAAAAAAAAAACAGTCTTTAAGAATGAAGGCAATTAATAAAAATCATGGACACAAACCTCTTACCACAGGCCATAGAACTCAGATGATGCGGGTAAGTTTATAATTTTCTCCATTAGAATTGTTTCTGTTGACAATTTGGTGAACATTTTCATTCATTCTGATGAAGAGATGTTTTAGGATGGTTGCTTGAATGCTTTTGTACTTGAGCTCAGCCGTCCCTCTCTGTCACATGTCCAGGTGTTCTCTGCTGCTCCTAAAGGTGGCCCATTGCTGAGTTTACAGTTTCCAGGTCTCAGCTCTGATAGCTCAGAAGGTTTAAATGTTTAAGGTCAGTCTGTGCCAGGGCAATGGCAAGAAGGCACATATGATCCTGGAGAGGAAAATAGAGGAAGAAGATTGCATGTGGGAGGTAGTCATTGCAGAGAGAGTGACAGACCTCAGAAGACAAAAAAGCCATACTCCATTACCATGTTTTCCATGTTTATGAATGCCCCTGTTTATACCAGACTTCCTTTGGATACCCTCTCATCCCTCTCATGTTTTTCTAATCCAGGGGTTGGGTGTAGGACATCTTCTCAGGTCATCATCATTGGATCTTTGGCTATTCCTAAAATATACACCTTTTTTTTTTTTCTTCATCTATCCCATATGGAAGGGAGTTTGCTGGCAAAGGGTCAGAACATTCCCTTTTAGGTTGAGTATAACCAGATTAATAAGATCTAAGTGTAGTGAGATCAGTGTGGACGATTTTGTACATTTATGGGACAGTTTATACCAAAGAAACATGTGGGCTCCCTCACTTTCAGAACTTTTAGAGCTAGTTCTAAAACTAAGTGTTAAGAGAGAGTTCTGTATTGGGGAATTGGAGGTTAACGCAGACTGTGCAGACTTTTACTCTGTAGTATTCTTTTGACATTGACAAAAATGGAAGGAAGGAAGGAAAGGAAGAAGGGAAGGAAATATAAAAGGGAATAAAAGCTTTCCTGTCCCCCTAAATGCCTGTACCTCCTAACTATCACACACACCCTTTCTTTTCAATCAAGAACAAGAACCTCTCTCAATTTGGGAGGAAAGAACATGTGTCTTTGAATGACAAAGTCCAGAGCCTACCTATAAAAACAGCCATCTAGGTAGGGATCTTCACAGAGGGATCTTCTAGGAAACAGTCCTCCTCTGCATTGAGAGCTCTTCTGAGACACAGCCACCATGGCTGTGGCACTATGGCCACACAGCCTCATGAATCAGGTATCTACTGAAGGTGCGGAGAAATACCCCAATGCCCAAGAGAATTTTAAATGGTCAATCTACAAAACAGCTCCTAAATCTTGTTAGGACAGTGACATGAGAGTTTAACTGTTGTTTTGCATGAAATGCAACACACTAAATATTTTATGACTCAACTAGCTCAAGGAAAGGAGCTGTAAGAACACATGCAAAACTAGATTAATTAAACTAGGTTCGTTGAGTTAAAAGCATATATATGAAAGAAAAAGTAAGAGCAACATTCAGTAATTAAGAATGTTAATCTATGACTCATCCTTGCTGCTTCATCCCAAGTGTGGCTGTGGGTTTCAGCTGTGGTACATGAGTTAATTTAGCTGGGATGAGTATTTTATAATTTAAATAATCATCTATTTATTTTTATGTTATCCTCTACTTTGGGCAAGTGACCCTTGTCTCATATTTTACAATAATGAGGTGAAATTTTTAATACATGGCATTTTAAGAAGGAAGGTTACTCCAAATGTTGAACACAGTGTAGGTGGTACACAGATGTGGTGAACGTTGTTGCAGTGCTGGGTGCTTGATTGACTGAAATCTGAGGAATGGTTCCTTAGGTCAGCATGTGCCCTTCACCCCAGCGCTGCCCCAGGTTGTGGCATTCCAAATTGACCTCCTTACCTTCCTTTCCCGGTCACCTCTGCATTAACTCTGAGTGAGCACAATTGCAGCTCACGTTCTTCAACATCAACTGTGCTGTTGAGTTGTCCTCTTTCCTTCACATTGGATTCTTAAACTTGTCCCTTAGAGTCTGCAGTACAAAAAAAAAAAAAAGCCAAGAATCACCATATCCTCCATCCACATAGCACAGTAACTTATCCAAAAGGGTATCAGTGGATCTGTGCCTCAGTTTCTTCATGTAAAAAAACGGGGTAATCCTAGGACCTCCCTCAAACTGTTGCTGTAAGAATCAAATGTTTTAATTCATATGAAATTCTTAACACAGTATCTAACACATAGCAAGTGCAGGGCACATATTCACTACTATTTTACAACATAATTCAAAATGATGATCATACAAATAAAGTTTAATTCTAGAAAACAAGAAAATGGAGGGGAAAATGACCCCATCAAGACCACAGAATTAGGTTGGATTTTTGCCTTGGTCATGAAATGGAAGGAATTAGGAAACAGCTAATAGAATCCTTGATGTGGTTGGTGATACATCATCAGTGAACAAACTTTCTTTCTTCATTCTAAAATGCCTTTCTGCAGAGGGATTTTAAAAAGCTGAGTTAATTAATAATAAAATGATGGTGAGGTACATGGCACACAGCACAGCCATCCATGCTGGGTCCATTACCCAGAAATCAGGAGATCAAAGATATCCTCAGCTTGGATTTAGTGCTTTGAAGATTCTCAGTGACCATTAACAACCAAACACATTAAACAATAATAACTGTTTATGAAACCTTGCAGTGTGTCCTTGCGCTATTTGATCTACTTGGGTTTTGTTTCATTGTAATAAACCACCACTTTGTGGTTGATCATAAAAAACCCTCCTTTACGGCTTCTTTATTCTGCGGTGGATAGACTATCTCATAACCGCTAACGGAATTTCTTCCACAAGGGAAAGTGGTTTAATGTTAAAAAGATATGGGCATATTTGGGGTTACAGAGAAAAGGGATAGTGGTGAAGTGGGGAGGTGAGTGATATTAACCGCAGACACTTGGATCCTGTTTTACAGTTTATTCCAGTGGTTCACAAGCTGTGACCTCCAGACCAGCACAAGGATCACCTGGGAATGCACTAGAAGTGCTAATTCTCAGGCTCCATCCCGTTCATTCTAGAGAGAGGCCCAGCAATCTGATTTTAACCTATAAAACACAAGGACAGTTTATCACCGATATTTCCTCCTCACCAGAAGAGACATATCTGTTTAATGGATATTTAAGACAGCTACTCTGTCATTGTCCTCTGTTCTCATTTTATTTCCCAGCCATTAAACTTTAAAATGAAACTGAGTCTTTATCCCTACATAAAGTAGAGGACAGAGCCAGAAGCCCAGCAAGAACGAGTTAAGGCCTGTCTCTCTCACTCCGGGAGATTCGCCATCACAGGTCATCTTCGTAACTGCAGAGAAAACTCTGACCGTGGTGATTATCTGGGTTTCTTCATTTGGCAGATATTTCCCAAGCCAACCACTGTTCTAGATGTTCTGGAAATGGAATTGAACAAGACCAACATGTTCCCTCTCCCAAGGAGCTTATGTCTTGGTGAGTGGGGTCAGCTAGCAAACACACAAACAAATAAATAAATGAGATCTTTCAGGTGGTGCCAAGCGCTATGAAGGTAGTAGGACAGAGAACAGTGGCCCTCAGCCATGTGGTGGCAGCCTCTGAGAGGCTTTAGGAAATGGCTTTATTATTTGACAGAAGTTGCTAGCTAAATTTCTACAGAGTAGTCAGGGCATCATTGTAAGGAAATTTAGCTGGCAATTTATTTAAAGTAAAAAAACTTGTTGAATTAGGCCCGTGGATCTTCTGCTTACATTTTATACACACAATTGTATGAAGCTACAACACACTTCCAAGTCTCAGGGGAAATGTGGATAGTATTTGATCTTACTTTTTGTTTTGCATTTTCATTGCTGCTAGGTTTTAGAGAATGGGACATGAATTTTTATAATCTGACATATCGGGTGTTGTACATTTTAATATTTATACCACTTTTTCCAAAGAATCATGGTGCATTAATGCTCATTATTTAAGACAACCTGGCCTTCTTTCATAGCTATTGATTTTTTTTTTTTTTTTTGCTTCCTTAATTGTTTTCCTTTGACCTTGTAGCACCAGGGACGCTACATAAACACCTGGCAAGGATGTACAGGAAAGGTCATAAGCCAGCAGTCCACAGATTGCTTTCAATCATAGACATTTTCTAGATGGCCCCAAAGAGGTCATATATTTAGAGATTAAATTGGTTCTTAGCACTTAAAACTTCAGATTCTCAAGATTTCAGAATTCTATGAAAAAATCAGGAAATTAGCCACAGTGGGATCACCCTCTGTTAGGGCTGAGGGCAGCAGCCTCTTTTGAATATAATACATGTTCTCCAGTTCAACACAGCCCTACAAGGAGGCCCGCTCCATTGATTAGTAATTTATCAGGTCCTTGCAAATGTTGGAGCTTGTAACTTCCAGAACAGGATGGTTTCAGAAAACATTCATCCCCTGCTTAAAAACTGAAGTGTCCACCTTGAAAATGGGTATACATTAAGGAATTAAGGAATGGGGTATTTATGGAACCCACCTAGCCTCTTGCCTGCTCACTGCCTGTTCACTTTGGAGTCTCTAGGGGGCAGCTGAGAATTCTGAGCACTGTTTTCTAAAAGAATGAGAAGACAGAGCAATCACAGTACTATATTGTACTAAGTCTCCAAATTCACCTTAGAAGGCAAAAGATACTACTTGTCTGCAGAGCTTTATGTTTGTCAGACAATGAAATACTGAAATATAAGCTTTTTTAAAATATTTTTTTTAGTTGTAGTTCGACACAATACCTTTATTTTACTTAATTATTTTTATGTGGTGCTGAGGATCAAACCCAGGGCCTCACCTGTGCTAGGCCACAACCCCAATTCCTTGAAATATAGACTTTTAATGCCTTAAAAAACTTCAGGAGCAATTTGAGTGATCCAAGGGCATTTACCTAGCAAAGCAAAGAAAGTTTTTCCATAGTAGCAGAAAAACTCAGCTAGACGTCTAGGAGAATGAAGGAAAGAAGGGCATGTCAATGAAAGGGACAGAAGTGCAGTAAGATAAACTAAAACAGGACATGAAGGTTGGGGCAAAATGTTGTCACATCGTAAATGTAACAAAACTGACAGTAAGGAAAGAGAGTGATATATTCTAGGTATAGAGAGAGAGAAAGAGAGAGATCCAGGCAGAAGAGCCACACTCAGATGAGATTCTGAACATTCCAGATAGGAATGATGGCAGTAAGTGCTCATATACCTTTATATTTGTGCAAGTACTAAATAAGGAGAAGGGGAGTGCTTTTTGTCTCTGTCTACTTTAGGGACATGGAATTTTAGAGTCCCCCATGCCCCAACCCTGAAGTTAGAAACATTCCATCTCAGAGTTGAACTTTTTCATACTCCAAGAACTCTAATGACCTTCTAGCTACTCTACAAAGCTCAATCAACCTCTTCCTCTTGATCCCCATGAGCATTTCTGCTTTCCAGGTGAAAGCAGACTCTCCAAGTTGAGAAGAGGCATTGCCTTTTCTGTCTGTGTCCATAGTTAACTTCTTTTATCAGTTAGTTAGCTTCAGTAACAAAAATACATTGGTGGGCTTCTCCGTGGAGGCCCCTGTGCCAGTGTGAAAAGAGAGATAAAGGTAAACAAGACTCTCCATTCTCAAGAAATATACCTTTTGAACAGAGGAGATTTTAAAATTACACAGGCAGGAAAGAATAGACTGTGGTAGGCTGCCACTGAGATGATCCCCAGAGGTTCACACCACCTGGCATCCATGTCCTGTGCGGTCCCCTCCCCCTGAACGTGGGCTAAGGTTAGCAACTTGATCATTAGAATAGGACAGAAATGGTAAGATGTCATGTTTGGGATGAGCATATAAAAGACTGGCTCTGTCTTGGGACCCTCTCTCCCTCTCCCTCGGATTGCTTGTTCTGAAGGAAGTCAGCCAGCCTGTTGGGCACAAGCTCACTCAAGTGGCAAGGAGCTAATGTCTTTGACCAACTGCAAACAAGGATCTAAGGCCACCTCACGGCCACACGAGTGAGCTGAGGAATGGACGCTTCACATGAAGCCTTGAGAAGAGGTCCCAGCCCCAACCGAAACCTTGATTGTAGCCTTGTGCGCCACCCTGAACCACAGGATCCAGCCAAGGTGCATCTGGATTCCTGACCCAGGGCAACTGTGAGATCAACTGACATTTGTGCTCTGTGCCACCAAGTTTTATGGTCACTTTTTTACAGAGCAGTGGATAACTAATAAATGATAAGACAAAGGGGCTTATAAAAAGAAATAATGTATCTGGTTCAGGGATTCAGGAAGGGATTTGAGAAGAACAAGATTTTATAGATGACCCCTGAAATAATAAGGAAAGTTTTTAGAGGTGGGTGGTAGCAGAGGAGCTGAAAACACTATTTTCAGGTAGAGGGAATGGAAGGTGAAGTGTGGTATTTATTCTTATAATGATAGGATTTTTTTTTCTGATTTATCTGAATGAAAGAGCACAAATGAGGGGATGAAGATCCATCTTTAAAGAAATATTAGGCCTCAAGGCCATTTGAAGCAAAGATGGCTTGAATGAATTGAGCAATCAGAAACCACAGACTGTGAGAGGAAGGAGAATGATGATGACCTCCGTTTAGAAAATTTATGGACTTCCTATGATGGACTCCATGGATTTCCTTTTCTCTAGGACCTCTGCAATCCCCTAAGGTATGAATGGTGTTGATGGGCACAGGAAGCAGAGATGGGTGGAGAAGAATGGAAGAGGTACAACGAATCTGTCACATTGGGGGAGATGAGACCAGGACCATTGAAGAACTGGGATCCAGGGAACGGGGTGTTTATGAGCACCAGGGCATCAAAGGGAAGAATAAAATGAGTGATGGAGGAAGGGATTCATGGGTTCGGTTTTAGACATCTAAATTCTGAGTTCACTGTTGGCTCTGGAGGGAAATGTCAGTTTGTGGTTTGGGTAGAAAAATACTCCTAAAAATGCAGACTCGAGAGATATTCTCCATGGAGGTGATAATTGAAAGCCAGGGGAGAAGAT